ACTTTCCATTTTCATGTTTTCTCGACGTTTTCGTCTGTCTGTCTGTGTCAATATTTACTAATCAGATAATCTCCGAAACTACGGGACCGATTGTTGTCAAATGTTATATGTATGTTAGAAACATCGTGTTGATGGTAAATCGCTAAACAAACTTTATCTAATCATCTCTACCAACAAAGGGATGCCGTCATCTCCAAAATTTACATTTAAGTGTTGCAAAATAAGATATTCCTGCACTTGTGATTTACGAATCCATAGTTTTCCCCCTAGACGTCCAAATTTTTAGAAAATAATCAAAAGTTTAAGCAAAACGAAAAATTGTCACACTTTGAAAACAGATTCGGAACGTTTTGCTCCATTTTAGTTCAATTAATATTAATTAGTCCTCTCCTCTGTTTTGAGGAGACAAAATCAGTTAAATTTCATTTTCTTTAACACAAATGCATAGTTGTTATCTGAACGTGTTAAAAGCGGAACTCTTTCGAACTACAAACATGTACAGTTGAAGTTAAGCCGGTATATAGAAAATCATAAGCGGTAGATTCTCCCGCGTACGTCAACTATTTTGGACTCGTATTTTCACCAGGATACGTAAACGCATTTTAACTATAACCGTACGCGGCAACGTGCTACCGCGTACCGATATCTCGATTACTAGTGCAGTAAGAACAGTTGACGTTGGTTCTACTGGAACGTAATATGTTTTTAACCGAAACCGTGTGTCTTTTAAATCACAGGACTAATCAACAGGACAAACAGATTACTTTTTTGATGTGTTTTCCTCAAAGGCACATTACATTGTTTTTTGATAGTGTCATCAGCAGATGTTTACCCTGACATTTGTAAAATCTTTGTCTTCACTCAAAGTATTCATATTTGTCCAAACAACATTATAAAAGAACCACACCCTTTGATAAAAAAGTTCTTTTTCATTTTAGAAATTAAAAAAAGGTTTTATATTTATTTGATGTGATGTGTTAGTCCACAGGCACGTGCCTGTAACTGACACAAATTCCGAGAAGCTTTTTTTGTGAAATTTTCTGAGGATATCATCCTCCTGAGTCAGAAATAGTCGAATGGAAGGCGGCGCTTGCAAATGAATGGGCGTTTTTCTGTCCGGAAATTAATCACGGGATTCGCGACAGCACATATTTATTTATGAAAATGCATATGCATATAGGTGTGTCTCCGAAATGTGCCCGTTATAGATATGACGAAGTTTGCGTAGCAATTAAAGAGGAGTAATCTAAGAAGGCGATAACACCGCAACCTACAAACTTTACTAATTTAACAATAGCGTAACAACAAAACCATAAAACGATGCTCCAATCAAGGCGGGTTTTAGTGGTTTTAGTGTCGTCGAGGGATGAGTATGCTCTTAGTCACGGGATTTTAATACATAAATGCAACAATCGACGTGTCGATATCTTCATGAATCAAAGAAACGACCGTCCGACCCCAATAATTTCGTAAACAATGGTGCGTTATGGGGAATTGACGACGTGGCAACGGAGGCATAAAATTTGCGAGGTTTTATTGGGAGTTTTTTCCGAGAACGATTTGGCTTTCTAGATTGAAGGATTCTTAAATTGAATTACACCCTCTGATTATTCTGATTGATGTCAATGGGAGAGATAGTTATTGAAAAAACGTGGATTCATTGTACGTATTTCAATTTATTTACTGGCCTTGCCGTAATAAACTCTCACAGAAGTTAACAATGTTTGGAATTTCTTTTATCACGATTTAATAAAAGTCAAAACTGGTAAAGTTGTAATTGTGTTATTCGGAGTGTTTCTTTACACCCGTAACTAACACCTTTTTTTTTAGGAAAAATTGAATTTTTTAGAGGTTAACACCGACTGAAACAAATTGGAAGTTGTTAAGAGGTTTTGTCACGCTTGTTTCAATGAGCCGCAGTGACGTATCAAATCTAGAAAAAAATCTCTAATTATTATTTACACAAAACTCCCTAATGACGTCACTTTTCTAGACAACCCTCGTGAGACTTTTATTTTTGGCCAAAAAAAAAATTGCATGGATAAAATCTGATGGAATGAATTATCGTTTATTTACACGGTATGGTACTGTTCAGTGCGCAAGAACACGTCAACAATCTCAGGGAGGTATATTTTAACAATCAACCGAGTTCAGTTTTCAGATCCCGCCTTTTCGTATTCCACGAGCTGTGGAAATGATCGTAGACGTTTTCGGAGCGTCGAGGGACGCAGAAGTGCGCGTACGCGTCCATGAAACTACCGCCGTATTGTTTAACGTTTCTTTTACACGTCCAGCGTAATATATCGTGTAGTGTTGTTTACACAAGAGCACTTTCTCTTGGGATTAGTTCGAAGAACCCCTTTACGAAGTTAATTAAAAACATAAATAGAGGTGGAACGCTTTGCTCGTTTTTTATTCATTTAAATCAACCCCCCAGACACCGAAGCGATTCATAACCCAAAATTATAACCAATAATATGTCACGATAAAAACTTAAACTCATGAAAATAATGGGCAAAAGATGATAAAATTTCTTTTCTAAACTTTAGAGGCAAATCTCGGGCGGTTCAACTTCCCAAAGTATTTCGATTTATGTCCCGCTGGAACCTTAAATAAATATGCCACTAGGGCATAATTTCACACGTTTGTTAGATTGAATATTTCATGAAAGCCTTCTCATTTCGTCCCAACTTACACGCGAAAAAAACGTCACAAAAAATCCGATTTACAAGCGCCGTAAATTTTTCATAAACAAATCCCACTTCATATGCCCCATTAAATTTATGCGCATTAATGTATATAGATAGAAAATATTCATCCGGATATTGAAAACACACAACAAAAGAAACGACAAAGAGGGGATCAGTGGCGGCGCAAAGCGGCCACCGAGGCCTTTCTGACTTATGCCTTTGGTAGCTCCTTGTAAAAGCAAATCCGAAAAACGGAATCAAATAAAGTCGCTCACAATAAACGGTTAAATAATACGCGACGAACGCGATACACAAATATGACCATTGTGTGCGAACACGTGGCTCAAATACACGAAACTGGGGGCAAAATATCTATTGTCACAAAAAAATAAAATGTCTAAAAAGGAAGATTAAAGCACTGAATATCAATATACAGACAAAAATAACTCAAACATCTACAATCATTTCTGTTTTTACGTAATGATGTTTCGATAACTGATATGTGATTTCGCGAAATTTTCAGTTGTCCGGATACAACATTCTAAACATAGATACTTAAATTGGGATTCAGAGGTGCGCTAGAAGATGAATTTACAAGAAGCGAAACACCTGGACACTATATTATTTCTAGTACAATCAACGTCCTTTTTTCCTCTTTAAAACTCACTTACAAAACACCTCCGATTCCCAACATTTATCAAATAAAATACCTTTTTGGGGGGTTACAGATTAAACATTTTTTAGACAACTGAAAACTCTTCTAGAAAAAAATTACGTAAAACTTTAATGTGAAAAAGAAAGCTGCCGTTTCAGAATTTTCCAAAAAAATATTGCTGCCCCTTGCATTTCGTGTATTTTATTACATAGACAAATGAAATAACAGAATGTAAAGCAAGAAGAAATCATACTCTCAAAATTCGTTCGTTCGACGAATTAAAAACTTGATTTCCATGAACATGAAATCTCCATGCTTCGCTTAGCGAAGTGTGTATCTTGCAACGAAAGCTAGAGGTTTTCTCGTTGTTTTTTGTACAGCGTGAGGAGATGATTTAATTTTATAAGGGTGAGAATTATTCACCCGAAAAGTTGGTACTCTGTACGCCAATTACGTGGCATTCACGACAAAACAGTAGGTGATTTCATGTGATCAATTCTCGGGGTACTTTTATAAAGCTAAGTACGTATTATGGTCAAGCCATTTCCATGGATCGTAAGTCTTGGATGCGTCGTTAATATAATTTGGCGTGAATATGACCCATTCTGTCGTGAATTTCATTGCTTTTGTCGTACTGTAATGTCCGTTTTATGGTCGTGTGAGAGTTCATTTGACATTTTTGCATAAGTTTCGTACGCTGTGTTGCTATGGGTACTCGTTTTGCTTTGATGCAGTCTCTTCCCTTGTTAACACGTCTCTCTCTCCGCAGTATTGTGTTTCTTTGATGGTGGTCAATAGTCCATAAAATGTTATAATTAATGGTTAGCAAACATGAAATTAAAAAATTCTTAATCCTGTTATGCCTCGGCTAAATACTGATTAAAGCCGAATGGGATCTTTCATCATGTATGTTCTAAGAAAATTAATTTGAAGTGAATTACGGCGGTCGGCGTGAATAACCCAAAAAAACGGAGTTATATTAAAACGCGTGTAAGAAAATAGAATCCGTCGAGAAAAATAATCGAAATGAAAAAAATAATGAACGAAATGACGCGCTTCTGCTGAAATAACGCCAAATTGACCTGGGCACCTGACCAAGGAGTATTTTCAGGCAAAAACCATCCGATTTGATCGCATCAGAGGCATGTCATTTTTGATTTTTTTCGAAGCGACGGAAAGGTTTCTCCAGAGAATAAATTTATCGCAGCAGTGAAAAAGATTACGTGTCGTATAAATATTTAGTTAAGTGGATTATAAAGCACTTGAAAAAGAGTAAACATAAATAAGGAAATGTAAACAAAGGCTCCTCGGAATAACAATAAAATAAAAAAGGTAAAGCGAATTTTCGCGAGTTGAATTAAGTCGGGGTTCGAACGGCAATCGAGGAATTTGTTTAAGTGTATGCAATAACCGTAGAAGCACGTGAATCGGTTATAAAGGAAAGTGTCTAGACAAACATTTTCGAACAAAGACGAAATTAAATCCAGCAATTAGATGCCGGGGGAATAAAAATATTCCGACGAGTGTTTAAAACATTTATTCTTTGATAGCACCTGACAAGATGATTAATGAGAGGAAATGTATGTTTTGACAAATTAAAAGAAGACGAAGGGAACTCTGGGGTATCGTCGAGGGCCGGGGCAAGAGTTTCTTACCTTATTTCGTCGCTGCAAAGGCCAGTTCGTGAGTATTTGCCTGCACAAAGGTCATAGATAGGTTCAGCAGCATCCAAAAGAGTTGATGTTTTGTGTGAAATAACATCAGCGGGAATTTTTCTTCCAAGGCCCCTTGAAGAAGAACCTTGCCTCTAGTCGGGACTCTTCTCCGAACGTCTTCGGAAGGACACCACTCACCGTCTCTTCCTCCAGAATAACAACAAACCCAATGACCATCTACTCCATTTTGAAACCGTCTATGAAGAATGCATGAAACGCGGATTCTTTGTGTTAAAACGTGTTTTATTCGCACTTTTCTATTGAGTTTTGTTTATTTCTAGGATGATTTCTGTCAGGATAAACACTTATTTCGAATTTTGCTTTGGGAGTGTCTGTACATGTACAAAATATTCGATTCCCAAATTACATCGATGCTGCAATGAAATTCACTCACTACCGAGTTATACAAACTAACTTTAGTTCTGGATAAACTCGCAAGATGGGACTAGTGCGCGGGGCGCTGATCGACAACCCCGAGGTCCCACAAGCTCCGCCCCTAAGGTCACCGAATGTTTACCCGCAGCGGTTCTCAACACTCACACCATCAAAGCCGCAGTGTGCAACCAGCAATACACGCTACTCCCTTTTTTTTCTGTATTGCGCTTTGCTCATTACTCACAGATCACGACCATACAGCACACACTCCACCCAAACTCACAGAACACCCAGACCGCCCAACCCACAGAAACCTTACGCCTAAAAACACCAAAGCACGTCTGCGAACCGACACGAACCTCATTCTGAACCCAACTCGCCGCAAGCACCACTCTCAGCTCCAACTGGAACAAAATCTTTTAATAAACAATAATAATGTTAGAAAAGTTTTCCTTCTGAACTTCCGGGATCTCGAACCCCGCAATGGAATTATGCAAATCATCTGCTTTGTGGTATGCTACAGACAACTCAATCAGTTTCTTATGAATAGAGTTCATTTCGGGCGAAAATTGTTAATTTCTTCGCTTGTTTGTGTTTTCGCCAACCCGATTGATCGGTGACGTCATCAACCGTGCCAATGCTGTTTTAAACCCAGATTTATACCTCGTGCAAACAAGAAACAAAAAATCGTGGCCCGCAGCTCTACTTGGAGACAATTAAGTGTTCTTGCAACCAGCCGCAAAAAATTTAAACACAAAGTATCCACAGCTAACTCAGACTACCTAAGTTAGAAAAAATAATCACCTTCAACCCACATTTTTTTAAAGCAGACAGACAAGACACATATATTTATAAAATCGCAATCTCGCGAAATTTGCCTCATTATGATAACTTCCTGTCCTATCCGTTGTGTTTAATCATGTATCCGGGAAGTTAAATATCAATATAGACAATTCACACCAACTGTATTTTTTAAGTGTTTTTTAGGACCTAATATAACCGCAGCCACACTTGGATCATTGCACATCCTGATGCGAGCGAAGTGAGCTATTCGAAACAAACTACAAATACAAATGGGATCATACTTCTTGATCAAGAAACAGCAAACCGGGTGTTTTAAATAAATCCATCCGTTTGCTACTTTGTACAGAATAAGTTTGATACCGCAACACACATAATTCGAATTTTTTGGCCAACAGTCGGGGATTGTTGTTGAAATGAATGAAACTTTATTTTTAATGTGACGCCCCCACAATAAACTCCCAATAAAAGACGTCTTGTGTTGCCAAAACCACCGAGCAATGACAATGCTAATAACTGTCCTATGTAACAAAATACTTTAATATCAGAGAAATAACTGTCCAAAACCGTGTTTTCTTCCTGTTCGTAGGTACGAAAATACAAGAACATGATGCTTCCCCATTTCCATCCATCTAGTCATTCTAGTCTGTTGGAAATTAATCGAAATGACTCCAAACTACCGAAATTTTCACAATACATTAATATAAATATCGCAAGATCGTTAAATGTAACAAAAATGTGTTTATTCGCTCATGGCGCATGCGCGCTTTACGTCAGTTTAAAATTGTGCAACATTATCAATAAAAATAAATAGGTTTGAAATGTTTCTTCCACTTTTTATCTTGTCTTGAAAAAAAAATTAAATAAAAAAAGCGTTATCTCAATTATAACAATTGTTTGTCACGATAATTGACAATTACGTTGGATAATTCACATTCCGTTATCAGTTCCTTGGCTTGCTGTTTCCAAGTCACAATTAAAACACAACATTAACGACAAATCGACGTGTTTGAACAACATTTATACAAATTCAAGGACGATTAGAAAAATGGTAGTTTTGTGTTGACATACGCCACACGTGTGTTTGGAGCCGAAGTTTCTGTTGTTGTTCCTCCAACATGGCGCTCCACCCACGAGCAGTCTAGAAGTTGAAGACTCGTATGTACAAGCATAAACATTGTGTTGTTAGAACAAACATTAATGTTGTTATTAATTATACCCGTAGAGTTTAGTAACAAACTTGGTTATTTTTTTGTCCGCCATGTCTGCCCACCTGAAAGTGTGGCGCGAATCCGCCAGTTTGATTTTGGCGGCAAAAGCAATTTTCTCGCAACCCAGCCCGTTCAACTACAAAGTCCTGTGTCTCAAAAGGAGCTCGAAGTCGAAGTTCATGCCAGACACGTACGTTTTTCCCGGAGGAAACATATCCAAGAGCGACAACACCCTGGACTGGCTAAAACTGTACGAAAAATTTGGCTTTTCCAAACAAGCCTTTGATGATCTACGACCTGCTGAAAACGTGCCCGCGGTATTACAAAATGACGACGAAAACAGCCTGCCGAGATATTTATCGTTCAGGATATGTGCCATTAGAGAAACTTTTGAGGAATGTGGCATTCTGATGTGCAAAAGTCCCAAAATAAACTCTGACACAGTTTCGCAGTGGGCTTCGTTTATCGGTAAATTTAAGATACTGATGTCGGTGGTGAGTTAAAAATGATTGTTTAGGCGGACATGAATTTATCGCGTGGCAACAGAGGGTGAACGATGACCCGAATGAATTCCTCAACATGTGTAAACATTTCGAAATCTTCCCCGATGTTTGGGCACTCAAAAACTGGAGCCACTGGATGACGCCCGCGTCGAACAAAACGCACAGATTTAGCGCTGTTTTCTTTATTGCTACCACGCACCAGATGCCTAATGTACACGGAGACGATAAGGAGATTCAAGACTTAATGGTGCGTCGCAACGCCGTGGGAAAAATCTGCAACAACAAGCTTTATGTTCTATGTTTTAGTGGACCACGCCTGATGAATGCCTACAGATGAATAGCAAAGGCACCGTTATGCTCCCGGTACCACAGTTTTATGAAATGTCGCGGCTTAAAACGGTCTTGGATGTTAATGCGCTTTCAAGTTTTGCCAGTAATAGAGCTAGATTTGGGTTTGAGACTTTCTGGCCCTACAGAATTGACACTAATAATGGTGTATACACGGTCTTACCAGGTGGGATTTTTCTAATACAATGTACAATTTGTAATATTTGTGTTTAAGGTGATGATTTATATCCCAAAAATATGGATAAGGACTTTACTGAAATCCCTCGGTTGAATGAACTTCCCGAGTCCGAAAACAAACACAGAGTTCTTCATAAGTCCGCGTATTCGAATTTGTTAGAAATTGAGAATTTTTCTTCCGCGTGTAGGCATATCGTACCCATGAAGTCCATCTAAGATGTCTAGAAATTCTAAGTTAGTAATAAATACTCAAATATGTAGATATTTATAAAAATTGTTTGGTGTGAGAGTAGGGTTAATGAGATAAGTTTCTTAATTGACTTAATTTTATTTGGCGAAAATGAGTTACATTATCGAAAAACATTACAAACAATGAGATTCAACAAAACGTAAAATCCGGGATAAAATAAATAAATAGGTAAAAAAATAAAATTAAAATAAAGGGTTTAATTACAACATGGCCCCTTAAATCATTAAAACATGTATAAAAATGTCAACACTTAAAGCAAGTCTGTGTACATAAAAATATAAAAATCACATGTTCTTTAAGTAGACGGCGTAATCTAAGCAATTATTAAAATTATTTCGAGCATTTTAATATTAATACTTTTCAACTGAAAAATAGATTTTGATTGCACTTATCATGATTTTTTCTTTGTACGATTTTTACTATTACTATAGCAGCAGATTGAGAAAAGATCACAGATTTCTTAAATTTACATAAACTCATTGCCAACAAAATAGGGTACTTAATTACATTTCTGCCCAAGTATTTTTGTATAAAAATTGTGCAAAATGTACATGTTATTATAATATAACTTTGAACAAAAACAACAACAAAAACATAAGGTTCCTCAACATTGAGAAATAAGAGAGAGTTAAATGTAAGTATAAAATAAAATAATTGACATGTTGAGGCGCCCTCTATTTTGTACAATAACGGAATGTTTATTTCGTTCAACAAAGATTATCACATAAAGTCGTGCATACTGCCCAAGCCATTAGAACACAAAAATGATTTTTGTTAGTAAAGGAATTATAACCTACTCTAATGGTTTAGTACTGCAGGAACTATTTTAATAATTGGATTTCTTACTCTAAGCAAGATCAAAGAACTAAACTAATCAGTTGCTACATCATTTCAAGGAAATTTAGCTGAAATTTTTATATAAAGCTGAATTCGAAATGCAAAATGGATTTTGAAACTGGTAAAGCAAATATATACTTATAAACATTATCAAAAAAATATCGAAATTTTATTTCGAAAATATTGTTTAATTGGTTCGTAGAATTGGTACCGTAGTGATACCATCTCCGGAATATTTCTAAGGCTACCAAATAATTCACAATCAGTTTCTAACATTATAATAGTGGCAATAAGTACAAATATCGTTACAATAATTAACGTGGGAATAAACGCCCCCACCACGTTAAATTTTCTAGGTTTTTTAACGTTTGCTTGTAAACTATGTGTAGTATTTGGCAGGCAAATTCGACCATCGACCTGAGTATGAGATAAAGGAGTTTGGCTACGACTGGAACGATGAGAAGGATTCGTAGTTTCATAACCGCGATAACTATCAATTAACTGAGATTCGGATGACGAATGTTCGAACGAGTCTCGAAAATAATAATCACTGAAGCGATCCATCGAATCATCTTTTAATACTGCAACAAACCATTAGTACCCCATCACAAAACTACCTCAATCCCACCTGTCGTGCGAAGCTTAGAAGCCCCCATCGCTTCCTGGTCTTCCGACACAGTTTCTAAGGCAGCAACATCACTGTAACCTTGCGAGGGATTCCCGTCCAAGCCCGACAATAGACCGGTACTGTTACTCGACTCCATTCGGGAACCTCCGGCATCCGAATGACTAGATCTCGGCAAACTACTATAACCTGCACCCAAAACCTGTTGCAACACGTCCAAACCAACAAAACGACTCACCTAAGTGGGGTTGTAGGGGTGTTGAGGGTGTTGCAGGTACACTGGACGCTTTACGTCTTAAGCTCGACGTGCGCTGAATGCTCGGCTCTTCGCGCGTTGGAGAACCACTGTCCTCCAGAATTTCCTTCTCGGTTCGTCCCGTATATTTAAACTTCGTGCCCCAGGAAAAGAAGCCGCCGCCGGAGACCGTAGGCGCGTCAGAACTCGCCGGCAGCCTGCCAACAACGTCTTTAATCTAGACATTCTAGAAAATCCACGACTTTCATAAATGATCCAAGTGCCGCCTCTTTTAAAGTGTGGCAACTTTTAGTCATCTCCATGGCAACGAAACGTCAAAAGTCATAATTAATCTGACAGATGGTGTTAATTCAAACTTTAAAAACGTTTGCCATTACTACGAAGCGGCAATAGGTCACTGGATTAAGGAACATTTATGAAAGTTGTACTAATTCTAGAGTAGACTAATAGTAATTGCGTAATATAATGGAATCACTGTAAAAATGGGGGTATACATACGTAAAAAATAACATTTGTTCGATCGCACACCTCCATACGTGTCGACAGGCAGCTCCGGTGGGACATTTAAATCCAACTGTGTGTTTTTTCTAAAAATGGGGTCAGTAACGAGTTTTCGCACGCATATTGTACTTACGTCGTTGTAATTTAGGTGAATTATGAACATTTTGCCTTCGTAGTTTATTTTTTGGATGTCGGGCCATCGAAAATGGTGCGTTTTTCGACTACCTTGAATCGTCAAAATTCCAGCGTAATTAATCCCTAAATAAAGCTGCGTTCCTTTGTGGTCCTAAAAACGGGTGAATGAATGTTTTAGGACCACCAACTTTGACAAACAAGATAAACTAAAAATTACACCGAGTGCAGAGCACGGCGATCATTTTTTACCACTAAATGTGTGGTTAATCACTAATTTGTACAAAAAAGTGATCAAGACTTGCAACATTGGTAAAATAATTCAAATATTGCACACGAGATAACGTTTTGTATTTTTAAAAATACACTGCTTTTTGCGCGGACGTTACTTAAGTCATATCCGCCCCTCACACGACAATCATTGACCTTGACGCAACGCCCACATATACAATTCGTATCAAAACACTTTATTCTGATAACAAGTATCTCCTCACCTTGACAGGGTGTGGATCAACACCATAGGTATCAAGTTGGCAAGCGAGTTTCAAAAAGGTGTTCTCCACCTGTGAAGGACTTTGGCCTTTGAGTTGCTTCTGATGTATTTCCATTGCTTTATCCTCTATAGTTTCAGTCTGTTTAAGTAAAATTTTCAGTTCACTCATGTAGTTCCCAACATGTATTTCAGGATCATGGTCTCCTAGTTCCCCTTGCAGAATTAGGGCTGCCAACATGGCAGCTTCGTTAGTAGCACAATATAATCGCCCATGGAGTAAATCTCTTTTCAGTTGCAAAAATATTTGGTAGCGAGTTATTTCTTCTTTAAGGCGAAATGGGTCAGGTGGGTAAAACTTTACACGAAAACTAAACAAAACTGGGTCCAAGTCTTTAACTTGTTTACAAATAGATTTCCCTAAATCTAGCCAGTGCTGTAAGAGGTGGCATTATTAACAGTCTGACAACCGCGAAACTTACTCTTTGGTCTTGTATATCCACATATCGGAGTCCTAAATAATCTTGCTCTACAAGATTCAGTTGTTGGCAAACATATTCCAGCAAGTATTTACCCTTGTGGTGAGGCTGCAAAGTGCCCAAAATAGTACAAAAAACATTCTTTTAATTAATTACCTTGTATTCGCATTCCAGGATTTCCGTATCCTCCAGGAGCCGGACCGTGCATTTATAAACAATATTGCTGTCATGTTTGGAACCAAATTTTAGCATTTTCCGCTTTTAACATAAGTCTATTTCATTTATAATTTATAACTTAGTATAAAGTTTTGTAAATAATTTTACAACGGACAGTTATTAATGTAAATAACACAAGATAACATTTGACACATATTTTTGACAGAAGGTTAGTCGGGTTAAAATTACATGAAGTTGGGTGCGGGACGCAAGGTCATGCAGCGCCGCCCAACATCGAAAACGTGAACATCGAATATAGAGTTCTATATCGATTATGTAAACAACATATAAAAAAAATAGTACATTAGTCGTCGTAGCTAATAACACGGTTGTTGTTTGTGTATGTGTGTGTGTGTGTGTATATATGTAAACAATTAATATATTTTATATGTAACACATGAGCTTATGAAGATGCCCCGCCTACCACGTCACGCAATGTATCTTTGGGCGGAGCTACAATATTCGTTGATTGATGACAGCTGAACTCTAGTGGTGGGAGCTAAAACCACTAGCCCTCTTAATTTGCATACACAATTTATAAATTATTAATTATTAATCGTTTATGTAAATTAATGTGGAAGTGTTCCTTAGCTTAAATAAATATACATATTTTAGCGAAACCACCCGTTTTTGGGAAATTAAATTTACCGCAACGGTGAAGACCCATTTCTGCCTCACATCACCGCTAAAACGTATTTCTAATCAAATGACAAGCTTTTCGGTACACAAAAATGTGAAACAAACAAAAAATTCATATCGACGGAGAAGTTGCAAATATTTAATTAATAAACACAGATGAAAGGAAAGAAAGTTCTTTCGTCGCTTGTTAAACAATGCTTTTATGAGATAAAAATTAATTTTGTATCTGTAATAAAAAATCTTCTTTTCTCGTAATAAATTTGTTTATTATGAGATTTTAACGTAAAAACTCTAGTAAACGAAGAAACGTTCAAAGTGTAAGAGAGTTACAAATTTTAGCTTAGTTGAATCTTAAAAAGGCTCCAGACTTAATGTCAGGTGAACGGTGCAGAAAAGTGACATTTTCACCTCGACGGAAAAATCAAATTGTTTCAAAACTACCTTGTACTAGCAAATAGTCGTCACGTTAGACTTTGATAGTGACAATTTTTTTTAAATTTCGTTGTTTCTACGCAGAGTATCATCAAATTTCAGGTAACATAAATTATTTTAGAATATTTTTTACGGTAGTATCACCTCTGCAAAAAGTTGTATATGATTTATGTCGAAAACAACTTCATATTCGGAATATGGAGAAAAACAGATCCTTATTTTAACAATTCCAAATTTAAAAAATATGCTATATATACATATAACTATTAAATAAAACTGTACAAATTGTATTGCGCCTAGTGATGGAAGTGATTATGTATTTCGGAAATTCAATTACGTCATATTTAGTGTTATATTGTACATATTAAAATGAATATATTTATTATCCCTAGGTACCTGGTGACGTCATTTTAAAATAATGTTAAATAAAGCGTCCGCGAATTAATTCTGACGCGCATTGCGGTGTTTATTGTACTTAAGAGTCGGGGGAAGTTCTATGTAAATGTATAGGTTGACATTTTTTCATCCATGGTTGAGGAAAAGACAGAAATTGGGCAACAAAAAATTTAAAAACGCGTTATTGGCCGTTCTGGACGCGTTTTATATGTTTGGGTTATACTGGGGGTAGTTATGGCATCGAGGAATTGCTCGTCAGCCGCAGCCATTAATTTCTAGCGGCTTATCAATAGTCTTTTTATTATTATATGTCTAACGTTGTTCCTAATCTTGACCCAATTTTAATAGGCCTAATTTTAGCGCTAGTAGCCACAAGCACAGGTAAGTGTATTGATTATTCCATAAAATAATCCACAAAACCTTATTTTATATGTGATAATTATCAGTTCTTAGAGGTCGAATTTTGCATCAGGTGCATACCTATAGGTATATCGATAAAAGCACCTTCGCATTACTTTATGCGAACCCATCTGTCTGAATCATCATATATTTATAGATAGCAAGGAAAACACGGACATGTACGGAAATAAGAACTTATATGAATGTGAATATTAGATATAGACACAGCCACCGACCGCAATACAAGCGTGGGAATGGCTCAAGACCTGTTCATGTTTTTACCATTGTAGCAGAAAGCACATAAAAAAGAAAACTTATTATACGTTACTCTGTATACAAAACACAATTGCGATCGATACACTTTTTGCAGATATTGTTTATTTATTCACTAAATATAAAAAGCCACTGAAACAGAAATGGGCGATTATTTCCTTTAGCCCTCCCATTCGAGTTTTGTAGCCTATTTGTCCGCAGTAAGACATTTAATGCAACATGTACCACGAATTAAAAAATATAGCCCTATAAAATACGAAATTATGAATGAATCAATAGAAGATGTGTAAAATTTATATAAATCGATCACGAGGCACGAAAATAAGCACATAAAATTTTCGTGAACTCGCATCGTAAATATAAAAATGGTAATGAAGAATTCTTGCCCCGATTAACCGCCTATAGTATGTTCACTGTAACGAGCGTTCACGTGAGGACGGTGACGCCCCTGATTGGCCCGTTGTCGCGTGGGCGCCGGTAAACGTTATTTACGCGACGTATTATTCACGTATTACCGAAAACAAATAACTGACTTGTGTATTATTCCCCGATTAAATACGAGCGCGATTCGCGTATCACGTGGTTGTGTTTGGAATGAAAAGGTCACAACTCGTGATATTTTTACGTACGTCTGACATTTGACGTTTAGTTTCCGAGAATCACACAAATAACAAATTAAGCCGAATTACCCCAATCGATAAAGCTCGTATTTCCTTTCAGTGAGCGCGTCCATACCTAATGAGCCAAGTTATAAAGAAAATTGGAGGAATTTTCTCATTTCGCCGTCATTGCTTTATTATCTGTGCTGTGTGTAATTAAGCGATCTTGTTGTTTGAACAAAGCTGGATAAAGTTGTAGGGGCAAACACAGAGGGCGCGTCGTTCTCCATGCGGCAATGGGGGGGAGGGAGATAACAAAAACAAAGTTTGAAATTCAAACAACGGAATAACAACAAGCCCTCCGAGCTAAAATGTTAACCGGAGCGGTATTTAGAAAAATATACGCCTGAGGGGTGATTCGGCGTCCGGGCGGATCCGGGAGGGTCGCGACGGACCGTTTGATGCGCGAACGCGGAGAAATTCGCATTTGTCTGGTGTTACGATTAATTATAATTGGATATTGTCAGGGTGAAAGAAAATGTCAAAATGGGGAGTGGGAGGGAGTGTGAGGGGCGCAGCTGTCATTGGTAGAGGGCGGAAGTGTCGGTGCCGTGATTGTGGACATGGGTACCTGCGATGGTTATGCGGCGCCTGTATGCGACGCGAGGCGTCGTGACGCGAGGGGAGTAGAGAGAACATGGCGGTCGCGTGAGCAAGGTTGAACGAACTGTTAACAAACTAAAAGAGTTTGAAAATAAACCCCCGTCTAAAAACCCACGACTTTGTGTTAATTTAAATCTAAGTCAAGTGCCAATCACCACACTGTTAAAATTTTTTTAGTGCGTACTGGTATAAATATGATTAAACTTGTACAAGGTTGGGAAACAAACGCATCAAGTCAGAAACTTAAAGCAATGTTAATTAACGAATCAAACAGTTAAGTACTAACCTAATTATTTTAATTTTAATTATAGTGAGACGATAAAGACAGTACAGTTTGAGTAACGTCAAATTTGTGTGATTGCGAGGTGGTTCAGTGTTAGCTAGCAAACGCAATCAAGCTTGAAAAGCCCAAACGATGTTTTACGAATTGGCAAAGGAATGATTACCGTGAACCGTATGAATGAAGCTTCCATCAATACTAAGCACATTGATTTTAATTGATGACATCGAGAATTCAAAATGAGGTAGAAGCATTTTTTTGATACCCTCCCATAGGTTGGCATTTAAATTGCAATAGACCGCATGTCGTCGCTTGCGCGTCGATCCAAAATTTTCCCAAATCGCTTTTACCCCAATATCATACAATTTTCCTCTTAGATCACATTGAGCGAATAATTAAACACAACGCAGAATGAAACGAACATATATGCAATTTATATGCTAGAAAAAGATAAACATACTACTGCAGGAGACCCGCACAATTACATTTATCCCTGTCTCACTTTCCTTGAGAAGGCGAATGGAAATAATCAATTTTCGTTTCATCTCTCTCTTGCATCAGAGAATTACACGGTTCATGTTTTACAGGACAAGGACAATACGGCATGTTAAAAACTCATGCATATTATACTTAAAAAAAGTGATCCATTCAAATTACGACCCATAAAAGTGAAACCTCAAAGCTCTATCCCGGACTTTATTTCGGATTTTCCTCCGATGCACTTCGACGGTTCCGCGCTACTTTACCAAAAATCTATATCTGAAGAAATATGCCAACCTTGGGTTAAAGCTTCAAGTGCGCTTGATATTTTGCCGTTTCTCCTAAAATATGATACTTTGCTGCTTCCCAAGCTCAGTTTGCTTTCGTTATTGGTAATCATTCGGTTAAATCATCCTGAATTAAGCTCGTACATTCGCCACATGTTCTTGACGTTTGGAAGGCAATTCTTCCACTTTGTTCATGTGTATTGTTTTAGGGTATCGTGGGGGCCTAGGCGCGAGGAGACATGTCCGACGCCTCTGACTTATCGTCCGAGGAGGAGCGCAGCCTATTCCGTCCATTTACGCGAGAGTCGCTTGCGATCATCGAGGCTAGAATTGCAGAAGAATATGCTAAACAGAAGGAGCTGGAAAAGAAAAGAGCTGAAGGAGAGGTACATGTAAAATTCGCCTCTTTCATCGCCTCATTTCACCTCACATCTCGAAATTTTAGCATCCCAGAGACCACATATACCAATAACGGGTCACATTTATTTTCACGTTCGGCTAGACGTACGTCCCGTTTTTCATGACTTTTTTCTAACGTGACGTACGTCCAGTGACGCCCAGCCGTCCCCAGACGCGAAAATATCTGCCCCCACATTCACTCCCTTACCGAGGGTGAACTGTTGGTCGAAATTGCGCACATCTCCGACATTCTCCATGTGTATATATTATACATATATACATATATCTGTTTGTATTTATTTTCCCAGGACTCTATGTATGTAAAACAGTGCTTGAAAGCATGCATGTCTTAATGTTTATATTGTTAATACTCAAAGTCCTCGATTTTCACAGTTACATCGTCATTAACGTCATCTCGAGTTACACGAGACGAGAATATCAATTTCCCCCAGCTACCGTACCTATAAAAAGTGTAACCCGAGATTAGCCATCGCAGATTTATATTGTTCGTAATTCCTATATACATATACCTAGATTGCTTTCCAGAAAAAGCCGAACACCTAAAATTAAGCGTCACGGAAATGAATAAATAGATCAATATTTTACTGCTTGTGCTGTGGCGTGTAGAAATGATTAAAATTTGATGAGAAAAGAACTTTGCTGTATAGTGCTTTTCTTTCTTTTTATATAGTAACGTCGCCGTGTCACTTTTAAAGCCGACGTATCATCTCTTAATCTTCTCGCAAAATCAAAATCTAAAATTTAAATATACAGAAAGGAAATGTTAACAGTATAAGCTGATTGAAAATAGCGATAAATAATGCAGTAGCAAAGTTTCAAATTAGTAAACAGGATTAAAATACGTCTGAATCGAGTAAGCAACCAACTCTGGCAAAACTTATTAACTTCGCGACAATCATACTGAATTATTTAACGTCTTCTTAATGTTTAATACCCACAACTGAAGATGATAATATCCTGTTTTCCTGCCAGATAAATTTGCTATGGTAAAGCCGGCAAGATGAGCTACGATGCGGGGGTTTTAGTACGTCATGGAAATAAAAGTTAACTCAAAAATATCAAAAGCACGTTTTCGCGCGTGCTCTCGTTTCGTAGCCCAACACGAGAGAAAATTTTTGCGACGTTATAAAACCTCGAAGCACATTGGCCCCTATCGACCATATCTGTATTTGGATCGTAACTCAAAACATAAAAGCTGGCCGGTATTTCGATAAATTTTTCATTTATGTGGAATTAAAAAGGTTTTAGAAACTAAATCTATTAGATTAATAAATTTCAGCTTTGTGTGATACTGTGGATCGACATTTTTATAAATGCGAAGCCAACGTGTTGTGATAATCGATAAAAATATTTTATATTGTGAAAGTTCATCTATGTGTCGGATATTTTTTGACATTACGATTATTTCTAAAATTTCAAAATCAAACTTTTGGTAGTAATATTTCGATTTGATGGCACTCTCACTAGCAGTTGGTAACATAAAATAATGGTAAAAATCTGGTATTCAAAATACTTGAGTCCACCCCAAAGGGGTTAATTTATTCAATCCAAAATACGATTAGTCCAGAATAAATGAATTCTAAATACACACATCTATCGTGCAAAAACCCAAAATCTTCATTTTCACCCACTTGAACAGATCACGTCCTAGAATTAGACGTATCCATTACAATCATCTACAACTTCAAAGTCTAATTACATTTTGGAACATTATGTTTTTTAACTATATTTATTTGCTCGTTTACTTCTATTATTTTAACTTTGAACATAGATTTCTAATTTTGAAGATAGGCAACCAATAATACTAATGCGTATTACCACTAAAACACGTACCATCACCTACCTAATTAGTTGTGGATGTTCGTATGGAACAACTGGGAGTTTTTCCCATTTCTTTGGGAATTTGTACGGTGGCACAGAGTAGTTTGGAGTAGAATATGCTGGATTTTCAATATTATTTGGATGCTTGTCGTTTGTATGTGTTTATTTTAGGTTAAATTTTGTAGACCATTTTTAGACTAAAAGAAAGATACAATGTCGTTGTTAAAGCGCACCTAGGAACTAGATAAATGTCTATCTAGACTATGTTGTAGAAAATTATACGCAGTGCGACAAAAAAAAAGATATTAGAGTTGGCTCTGTTTTACATTACTGTTGGTGTCACTTATTCACAGCATGTATTTCTTTAAATTTTTCTTAATTACGGAAAGAAATTGCGTAAATGTGAAATCGGACTATAGCTAAAAAATAAAATATTTATCTGTGACGGCAAAATATACTGGAGCCCGTCTTTTAATTGATGGTAAAATGTTTCAGAAACATGTATGTGAAATATCATGGAATGTGTTTCAGAGACATTACGTTCTTTTAGAACTAGATTATTTCTGAAAAATTTACGATGGATGCTTACAAAAAAAAGTCTTATTCCCTTGTCAAAATATCTAAGTTTTTATTGTTTTATTGATCTCGGAAAATGAAATTCTAAGGGGTGCTCAACTAGGATTTAAATTACCATTGGAAGTTGGCGCCCTGAATAATACACCGACTTTTTAGGCCCAAACCGACTGAATTTAAATGCATGCAAATATTAGTCAACTCGTGTCAACTAAGTACAGTCTTTGGCATATGATATGACATTCACGGAATTACCAACTAAAGCTGGAGAACAGCAGCCGACTCTAATTTCCTTTTATGAAGGTGGCACGCCGTTTTTAGAACATTATTTTGGCTGCAGTTACCGGGTATTCAATCATTCTCAGATGTTGATGCCTTTGAACATTTTCCGAATAAGTAAAACGATAACAGGGAGACGACAAGGTGAAGGTAATCAATATGACACGGCAGTCTACATTTTTCTCGTTAGTTCTTCAACCTGAGATGCTTGGAAGATGAGAAAAACCTTCTACTTTTCCGACTGTTTTAATTATGCATTCTCATATCATATTATAAATGTTTCTATTTCTGTGTTTGTTTAGCCGAGTGGTGCTTCGTTACGTGAGGGATTTACAGTATAAAGTAATTTTTCCATGTCCATTTTACGCATTTTTGTGTTCATTGCGATTTGAAATGCAATTTCTAGTAAAAAAGCGCGTTTGAAAGTGAGATCATTCGCCAATGGCGTATCATGAGAGTGGTAGTGTAGCTACTCCTGAGGCTAGTTTTAGGAGTCGTGTGATTGATTGGTGGTCCTTCTCAGGCTGACTAATCACCACGGAGTCGTGTGATGTAGTGTAGCGAAGCGATGTTTGTGCTTATCGATGTTAAATTATATAACCTTTATTGCAGACCGGTTTTGGACGCAGGAAAAAGAAAAAAGAAGTAAGATTTCCTCATTAAAAATGCTCAAAAGAGTTGCTTTTTAGGTAATTAATGCCTCTGACGATTTTTCAAAATTTTTGATGGGTAACGCCACGATATGGCTCACAAACCACTGTTTCCTCTGTTTCCTTTCTCTTCTATATCGTCAGTTGCATCTGAATAAATGCTTCATTTTGTTCATGCTTGATTAGATGATTTACTGCATCTCCACCGTCTTGTGTGCATTATTTTGAATTGAATTTAAACCGTGATCACACGACTGACAACCACTCAACACTGATTTCGTTCAAAAAGAAGCCAGGGTTTGACACAGTGACACATGAACCACTGACTCAGCGAGTTGAAGCATGTTTGATATTAGTTGAATGAATTAAATCGAGTTTAGATAAGGCTTTGTTTAATTTTATTCCACTCTCTAAAACTTTCAATCAACATTGAAGATAGTGGAAGCGTTAGCATTACCGCTGCAACACTGCTTTAGTTCTGGGTAGACTGCCATACACAGCACAGTTTACACGATAAAAACCAACTGCCAACCACGAGCACACACGATCGTCAAACCTCAAGTTTGATGATTTTTGAACACACGTTCAAACGACAGCACAGACCATTTGCGACAGAAATAACTCACAACAGCTTCTGAAGCTTGAAACTGTACAGAAAAGTTGACTTGAATCAAGCAATTGATTGCAAATCAACTGTATACACTGAACAGTTGCATGTTGTATGTGTTGCAAATTTCTCTTCTTGAGTAGAGTTTGTAAATATGGAGTTTATTTTGTTGTTGATCAAGAATCTGTATCCACTCAATAAACCAAAGGAAGAGAACCTGCGTTATTCCGTTTACCAGATAAGATGGCTATAGTGAATCTTTTGAGCCTGTGTGTTTTTTCTTATTATTAATTGGAAGGTCTGACATCACTTTTTCCACACGACACATGTTAAATTCTACACGCAATACCACAGAGCGAGATTTTGCCGATGTACCGGAAGGTAGATCTGCAAAATTGTTAACAGTTGCAATCTTCAAGTCTTCTAAGACGGAGTCTGTACGCAGATTCGGTATGAGGACGAGGACGAAGATGAAGGCCCCCAACCTGACGCAGCTCTGGAGCAAGGATTACCTTTACCAGTTCGTCTTCACGGTGGATTTCCCCCGGAATTGGCCAGCACACCGCTCGAAGACATCGACCCTTTTTACCACAACCAAAAAGTAGTATGATCGCCGAAACTGGATTTTCCGGATTATCAATAACTTTGTTTTCAGACTTTTGTAGTAGTTAGTAAAGGCAAAGACATATTCAGATTTAGTGCAACCAATGCTCTATGGATACTCGATCCTTTCAATCCAATCCGTCGGGTAGCCATTTACATTCTAGTGCATCCTTTGTTTTCTCTTTTCATCATTACCACCATCTTGGTCAATTGTATCCTCATGATTATGCCCACGACACCCACCGTAGAATCAACAGAGTAAGTCGCCTTTTGTGCCTTGTTCAAATCGCAGTGTGCTGTTTTAGAGTAATTTTCACTGGCATCTACACGTTTGAATCAGCTGTGAAGGTGATGGCGAGAGGTTTTATTCTTCAACCGTTCACCTACCTTAGAGATGCATGGAATTGGCTCGACTTCGTAGTCATAGCTTTAGCGTGAGTAGCTTAGACCTAGACCATAGACGTTACTTAGATTAGAGTTAAATCCCGTTTCAACAACTAGCCGATCTATTTATATCTATATCATCCGTTTTGGTTGTACCCTATAAAATTTTATTAACCTTTTTTGACACCAAAGGTTTTGACGCCATACACACCCTACGGAATCTAAGAATCAACTTTTGGGACCTCAATTCTTAACCGAGATGCCGTCGTCCGGTAAAACTTTATAGGTACAAGCAAAACGAACAGACAATAAACATTTTGGTATCGTATAAGAGAACAGCAAGAGCAACCGAAATCAAAACAACACTTCCACCTTCACAAACGAGTTAGACTAGTGATGACAGAATAAAACAACCCCAAAATCTTGTCTCTATACGTATATATGAAATTTGTTAACAGATGCATCTATTCCTTCATTTTTCAGTAATTTCTTGTTTATGGAAATTTGATCTAACGTTCCTTTTACTCCACGCCTTGATCAATATTTTTATTGGCTTAAAAGATTGTAATTTTGGCTAATTGCATTTAAAATATACAAGTGAGTTTATTGTGTCTGCTATTGTCTTCACCAATGTAGAACGATTCGTAGTTTTATTAGAAATTAATACTTGTTCTAAAAACTAGATCCCAGCAAACACATAGAATAGATTAGTTCTAATTTCAGTTAGAAGTGAACCGAAACATAGATACTTTTCGTAGATTTAGACTGTTTATGAAGTTAGTAAAAATTTTAAGCATTATGACGTAAATTGTGTTGTTTAGTATAATATGAAAAAGAAACCGCTTTTAGTAAACCGCGAAAAAATCTAAGAAATATCTTAAAAGAACTGATTTTACAGTTATGTTACCATGGGTATAGACCTTGGGAATCTTGCTGCCTTGAGAACATTTAGGGTACTACGAGCTCTAAAAACTGTTGCCATTGTGCCAGGTAACCCTCCTTTCTAAAAAAAAGCAACTTTCCTTACACCACTTTTCAAGGATTAAAGACTATCGTCGGAGCTGTAATAGAATCTGTAAAAAATCTACGAGATGTGATAATTCTAACGATGTTTTCGCTTTCTGTATTCGCACTGATGGGTTTACAAATTTATATGGGAGTTCTAACACAAAAATGTATCAAAAATTTTCCCATGGACGGTTCATGGGGGAACCTCACCGCCGAAAACTGGGAGAGATTTATGAGTAACGAAAGTAAGTAACCGTTTACTTAAAAAATCGATGTTCTAACACACCACCTGTAGCCAACTGGTATTACGACGAAGACAAAGGAGAGCGACCGTTGTGTGGGAATTCTTCTGGTGCCGGACAGTGTAAACCGGGCTACATGTGTCTCCAAGGTTACGGTGAAAACCCGAACTACGGATACACAAGCTTTGATACATTCGGTTGGGCCTTCCTTTCAGCCTTTAGATTAATGACCCAGGATTACTGGGAAAATTTATATCAATTGGTAACGCAACGGTCACCCTTAGAACTAAACTTACCGCTCACGTTTGTAGGTTTTGCGATCGGCTGGTCCTTGGCACATGTTATTTTTTATCGTTATTATCTTCTTGGGCTCGTTTTATTTGGTTAACTTGATTTTGGCCATTGTCGCCATGTCGTACGACGAACTGCAGAAAAAGGCACAAGATGAAGAGGAAGCAGAAGCGGAAGCTATTAGGGTAGATCTGGCTTAAACGCTTCATTTGGCTTCTCACGCTTTGTCTTTAGGAAGCCGAGGAGAAAGCGAAGGAGAAGCAGGACCGCGCAGACGCGAGGGCTGCAGCGGCGGCCGAAGCCGAAGCTGCCGTGGCAGCTGGCGCTGGCGGTGGCGGCGGCAGCGGCGGAGGCGAAGGGGGTCACGATATCGTCAAATCGTCTTCGGATTATTCGTGTCACAGCTATGAGAGCTTTGTGGTGCAAGCCAGCGGTCAGGACGACAACAACAAGGAAAAAATTAGCATTAGATCCGAGGGATTAGATTCCGTGAGTGAACACAGAAGAGTTCCTAATCTGAGCAAGATACGGAAAGTCAGCGCTGTAAGTGTCTTGATATTTGAAGGCGATTCAATATACATCAGTGACATTGCTTTCAAAAAGACTCCGGTTGATGTCAAAGTAAAGATCATGACAATTATAGTGTTTAGACTCTCTTCCAACTACTTTCACATTTAACGCCAGCACTTTATTTTCTGCTTTCTTTTTAGTTCATCATTCTTGCGCAAGTAAATTTTGGTTAAGCCTTTGTTACGGTGCAGGTCGGAACGAGTCAGGAAGGGTGATAGTCAGAGCTTTTTTCGGCATAGTATTGTGGGTAGACCACTATGCTACGCTTTCTTTCACACAAACTTTAGATACAAACACGTCACGCATGTATAGACCGTGTCCCGTATACAGGCAAGTTTGAGTCTACCGGGATCTCCGTTCAACCTACGAAGAGGATCAAGAGGAAGCCACCAGTTCACCCTCAGAAACACCAGGCACATGGTGGGGCCAGGGGACCGCAAGCCGCTGGTGCTCTCCACGTATCTAGACGCGCAAGAACACCTCCCCTACGCGGACGACTCCAACGCCGTCACTCCCATGAGCGAAGAAAACGGAGCCATGGTGTTTCCTATGTATTACGCCAACTTGGGTACGTAAATGGCGCAGTCGGTAGGATGCATTTTTTAATATTTTGAGTCTATTGTATTCTTGTGTTTGCTGTTACATAACATGATTCAAACTCAAGGGTCGCGTCATTCTTCGTACAATTCACACGCTGCGAGGATGTCGTATACATCTCACGGAGATCTACTAGGAGGGTTGATTGGTAGCGGGAAAATAACAACGAAAGAGAGTCAACTGCGGTGTCGGTCAATAAGGAATGCTCCTCCTGCGGCTACTAATTCTTTCTTCGAAATTACGCATAAGGCTCATAGGGGTGACTACGTAAGTAAGAATGACGTTAGAATGAGTAGGTAATCTTAAACGATTACAACAGGATGGTCCTACCGGACAACTTTGCGAATCAAAACTGAAACAATTAGGTAGTGCGTATATGGATAGTAATCAAAGACAGACCGTTGTGGATATGAAAGGTTACTTTATTTAATTAGTGCATTCGGTTTAGTAATAACAAGGTTTCAGATGTAAAAGTACTCAATGACATCATCGAACAGGCGGCGGCAAGTGGTGGCAACGAACACGGAGGTAAACCCTAGTTTCTTTTTACTCCCAAAACTACATCCCTTCACATAAAACATAAACACGCTTTACTGAAACACTATAGAATCGCACTAACACACCTATAAATATATCTCGTCTCAAACTAATGATATTTATTTACTACAATTGTACAAAATGGACGGAATTAAAACAAGAAAAACTTAAATTAGGTAAATAAAAAGCAGTAATAATTTCAATAAGTAATCTGTGAAGCACTAAATCCATACGTATTGAAGCACCGAAATTGATATGATTAGCTAGACATCATGAAGTCCTTAGACCCTTAATTGTTTACCAGTTTTTTGTATAGCTAAAGCTCCTCCGCGTTAGCTAGAAGAGCTAGTTAAAACGGGCTAGGACAACTCAAACAGTTAAGGAGTTTAGTTTTCACTAGAATCTTTTAGATTTGGTGTTAATCATTTAGTTAGAATAAATTGGTGTATTATTAAAATCAAAGTACCATTTCATCGGCATATTGGCTGCGTATATTTGTGACGGCATGAGCTTCTAGTACGTATATTGGCCTTCATTGTTCTTAACCGAAAATAAATACATAATTGACTCTCTGTACTTGCGGTACTCTTCGAGTAACTCAGCAATACTTTATTAATCCTTAACTTGCTTATGAGAGCGAATGTGATGACAATACAGACTTAACCAGCGGTTAAGAACGGCTGCTCCACTATCGCATTGCACAAAACCTCTTTCCCCAAAAAAGAGTGTGTCAATATCACTTCTACTAATACTTCGTTCAGTTTCTGTTTATATTTTCTCAGCAAACAATAACGACGAAAACGAAGAGGAAGAAGAAGAACCAACTGTGATGGAACGTGTTCTAGCTAACACCTTAAAAATAATTGACATTTTTTGCGTGTGGGACTGCTGTCAGTGCTGGATCGTGATTCAGAAATTCGTGGCGTTAGTTGTTTTCGATCCATTCGTCGAACTTTTCATTACGCTTTGCATCGTGGTCAACACTTTGTTCATGGCTTTGGATCATCACGACATGGACAAAGATCTAGAGAAAGCTTTAAAAAGCGGAAACTATGTAAGTTACTCTTTACCGAAGTCCGACAATTCTAACTTTTAATTTTAGTTCTTTACTGCTACTTTCATGATTGAAGCAACTATGAAACTGGTCGCCATGAGTCCGAAATATTATTTTCAAGAGGGCTGGAACATCTTTGATTTCATAATTGTAGCTCTATCATTGTTAGAACTTGGTTTAGAGGGTGTTCAAGGATTGTCAGTTTTGCGGTCGTTTAGATTGGTAAGTAGTTATTCGTACAAAGGTTCCACGAAGCAATATCTGCATTACTTGATTTCAGTTAAGGGTGTTCAAATTGGCGAAATCGTGGCCAACTTTGAATTTACTTATTTCCATTATGGGTCGAACCATGGGTGCTTTAGGAAATCTAACGTTTGTGCTGTGCATTATCATATTTATCTTTGCCGTGATGGGCATGCAACTATTTGGGAAAAATTATACAGGTACTGCACCTCCCCCCCATAATTTCCAGTTACCAAAGAAAGTCTCTTTCAGACAACGTCGACAGATTTCTTGACCACGAACTTCCAAGATGGAATTTCACAGATTTCATGCATTCCTTTATGATAGTATTTAGGGTGTTGTGTGGAGAGTGGATAGAATCTATGTGGGACTGTATGTTAGTAGGTGATGTATCTTGTATCCCATTCTTCCTAGCAACTGTCGTTATTGGCAATCTTGTGGTATGTAACTTTTTCGCTATCGTAGCAAGCAACCACACTGCTCCTTCTAGGTTCTTAACCTTTTCTTGGCCCTGCTTTTGAGTAATTTCGGTTCCTCGAATCTCTCGGCACCAACCGCCGACAACGACACTAATAAAATAGCAGAGGCCTTCGACAGAATAGGTCGATTTGTAAGGTGGATAAAGGCTAGTGTTTTACATATGGTGAAAATGGTGAGGTTTAAACTTACCAATCAGATATCGGATCAACCGTCGGACGAAAGAGACTGTGCGTTAGAAATATCCGAGGACGAAATTTTGGCGAACGGGTTAATGAAAAAGAACCCGAAAGATCGGGTGGAGGTCACCATTGGAACGGGAATGGACCTTACCGTTCATGGTAGACAACAAAATAAGATTTCGGTACCCAGACTGTCCATTTCTTTTCTAGGTGACTCAAAAGTTAATTTAAAACGGGACAGGAATAGTATCAGTAAAAGTAAAACGATAGGTAATTCAATTTTGGACCACAGTGACTTCATCAGTCATCTAGATGATGACGAAATTAGTAATAAGTCTTACGGAAGCCATACATACGGGTTTAAAAACGATAGCCACAAAGGTAGTGAAGATATATTAGATGAACAAGAAGAAAAACGTGATGCTAGTAAAGAGGAATTAGGTATCGCCGAAGGTAAGCCTCCAACGTAAGCTTTGGTGACCAATTATCACTGCATCTTCAGAAACTGAAGAAGAAGGCTGCGAATGTAAGGAGGCCTTAGCTGACGACTATATAGACGCAAACACCGAAGACATCATAGACGAATATTCGGCCGATTGCTGTCCAGAATCTTGTTACAAGCAGTTCCCGTTCTTGGCAGGAGACGAAGACTCGCCGTTCTGGCAAGGCTGGGGAAACTTGAGATACAAGACGTTCCGTCTTATCGAAAACAAGTATTTTGAAACGGCAGTCATCACGATGATTTTGTTAAGCAGTCTGGCGTTGGCGTTGGAAGACGTTCACCTGTCGAAAAGACCAGTTCTGCAAGATATTTTATACTACATGGATAGGATATTTACCGTGATATTCTTTTTCGAGATGTTGATCAAATGGCTAGCTTTAGGATTTCAGAAATACTTCACCAACGCATGGTGCTGGTTAGATTTTATTATTGTGATGGTACGTTTTGCTTGGAAGGTGTAACCATGGAACTAACCGTTCGTTTTGCTGTAGGTGTCATTAATCAATTTTATTGCATCTCTTTGTGGTGCCGGCGGTATTCAAGCATTCAAGACCATGCGAACGCTTCGAGCTCTGAGGCCGCTACGTGCTATGTCGCGGATGCAAGGAATGAGGGTAAGACAGTCATTGCAACAATACCATTTTCTGCCACGACTATCGTAGGTTGTGGTAAATGCGCTGGTGCAAGCTATACCATCTATCTTCAATGTCCTGCTAGTGTGCTTAATCTTTTGGTTAATTTTTGCTATAATGGGTGTACAGTTGTTTGCTGGTAAATACTTTAAGGTACTTTTGGTAAAGTACAAAAGCTCGGTACTCACTAACGTGGAATTTTAGTGTGTGGATGAAAACAAAACGACGTTGAGTTACGAAATCATTCCGGATTACAATGCTTGCAAAGCGGAGAACTATACCTGGGAAAACTCCCGAATGAATTTTGATCACGTGGGGAAAGCATATCTGTGTTTGTTTCAAGTTGCTACGTTCAAAGGCTGGATACAGATTATGAACGACGCCATTGACTCTAGAGAGGTACTACGAGGATAGCTTGAGGCTTGATCTAACCGTTTTCTTTCAGATACATAAGCAACCTATACGAGAGACCAACATTTATATGTATTTGTATTTTGTCTTCTTTATCATATTTGGATCATTTTTTACACTGAATCTGTTTATCGGTGTGATCATTGATAATTTTAATGCGCAAAAGAAAAAAGCGGGAGGTTCGTTAGAGATATTTATGACGGACGACCAGAAGAAGTACTACAACGCCATGAAGAAGATGGGTTCGAAGAAACCGATGAAAGCTATCCCGAGACCAAGGGTAAGTACAGACGGGGTAGGGTTTATTGACGCTCAAGGGAGAGTTGTAGTGGCGACCTCAAGGCATCGTGTTTGAAATAGTGACAAATAAAAAATTCGACATGATAATCATGTTGTTCATCGGTCTGAACATGTTAACGATGACTATGGACCATTACCAGCAAAAGGAAACGTTTACCCAAGTATTAGACTACCTCAACATGATTTTCATTGTTATATTTAGTACTGAGTGCCTAATGAAAATGTTTGCTTTACGGTATCACTACTTCACGGAACCTTGGAACCTATTCGATTTGGTAGTGGTGATATTATCAATTTTGGGCTTGGTTTTGAGCGACTTAATTGAGAAGTATTTCGTGTCACCGACACTACTGAGAGTGGTTCGTGTGGCGAAAGTCGGAAGAGTTTTGCGTTTGGTGAAAGGAGCAAAAGGCATCCGCACACTGCTTTTCGCATTAGCCATGTCACTGCCTGCACTATTCAACATCTGTTTACTGTTATTCTTGGTCATGTTTATCTTTGCCATTTTTGGGATGTCATTCTTCATGCACGTGAAGGACAAGAGCGGATTGGACGACGTTTATAACTTCAAAACATTTGCTCAATCCATGATTCTCCTATTTCAGGTAGGTTGGAGTCGGGTTTAGGTTTAGGCTGAGGGGTTGTTGTTTAGATGTCTACTTCGGCCGGATGGGACGGGGTTCTCGACGGGATCATCAACGAAGAGGACTGCAAGCTGCCGAACAACGAGATAGGAGAGACAGGGAATTGCGGGAATTCCACCATAGGCATCGCCTTTCTGCTAAGCTACCTCGTTATTTCTTTCTTGATCGTCATCAACATGTACATCGCTGTGATTTTAGAAAACTACTCCCAAGCGACCGAGGATGTACAGGAAGGGCTGACCGATGACGATTACGACATGTACTACGAGATCTGGCAACAGTTCGATCCTGATGGCACCCAGTACATCCGCTACGATCAGCTCTCGGACTTCCTGGATGTACTGGAACCTCCTCTACAAATCCACAAACCTAACAAATACAAAATAGTTTCGATGGACATTACCATTTGCAAGGGTGATCTCATGTTTTGTGTAGATATCTTAGACGCGCTAACCAAAGACTTCTTCGCCCGGAAGGGCAACCAGATCGACGAGTCTACCGAACTGAGTGAAGTGCAAACTCACCCGAACGAACCCGGTTATGAACCAGTGAGCTCCACTCTGTGGAGGCAGCGCGAGGAGTACTGTGCGAGGCTGATCCAGAACGCGTGGCGCAAGCACAAGCGGCAGCGCAGCGGCGCCCCAGACCAGTCGGACGAAGGGGAAGCGGACGGCGACAAAGACGCCGAGCTGGAGGGACGCCAGACGGCCGTTCTGGTGGAAAACGACGGCTTTGCGACCAAAAACGGGCACAAAGTGGTGTTGCACAGTCGCACACCCAGCGTCAGCTCCAGGTCCGCGGATGTCTGAGACAGGCCCCGCCCCTCCTTGGTGCCGCCATAGTGGACACTGCAGCAAATTTTTATCTCGGCTGCCCTCCAGACATATCCTCTTATTAAATACATCGAATTACGTTCTTCGGCCGGGTCGCGTTGGCCGCACTTCACTGGATCGTCCGAGATAAAAACTTGCGTAGAACGAGTATGCGCTGTGTAGTTTGATGGAGAAGGTATCGTAGATTATCAAATCAACTGCTTTTGCTGCTCATATCGCTATCGACGGCGTCACCGTCGTCGGGTTTACTTAGTATCTTCAATAATCCACACTCTACTGAGTCATAGTTATATGAACAGTGAACACACGATCGGTTTTCTGTACAATTATCATGAACCCACGACGAGCAGCAACGATGTCCCAGCATTCGCTGCTGCTTGCCCGAGGGACTCGAAAATTCTACAAAAGACTAATCGCGAGGGAAAGACGGTTGATCATTTTTGTACAATCCCACAAGTGAGGTCCTATTAATTTCTAATGTAGTATGAGTATTCCATATCCTCGCGCGAAGACGCGCTCTAGTAATCGTAAGTATATGCAATTCGAATTAATAGGACGTCGCTGGTTCAGTCTAGCATCAAAGTACTTAGACTGGCCAGTTAGGATACAAAAAATAACTTCAATCCTCGACCGGTCACTCTCCAGTAACTCGGTGACGGTCGTCATTTTGAGAACACACTTCCCAAGTGGATCCCAAAATGCGAAGTCAAAATCTGAAGTCCTGGGGGTTGACGGGTCGGGCTCACATTCCCGAAGGGTGCAACTCCGAAACAGGGGGTGCCCCCTTCGGGAGTAAGTCGATTATATTCTAAACGGGCACGAAGGAACAATAATTTACTTAGTAAGATAAAAAGTGAACTGTTTAAAAATTACATCGAGTTATTAATAAAAATATGGTGCTTTCTTCACTTGCTAGTCTTCAAGCTACATGGACCGTATAACGGAGGAGGGGCAAATGGGTTAAAATTGAAAATCACACAAAATTTTCATATGCCTCATACAATATCTAATGTAAATTTGTATGTGTGACATTTTTTCAAAAAACCACTTTTTGACAAGCAATATAGCACATGCTGTAACTATTTTTGAAATATGTGCTTCAATACAATTAGCTTTGGAAATTTTTGATTTTCACACAATAACAGCATTTTACGACTTATTGATCGCACGAGTTGTACAAATTATACACACTTGTACATTATAATGTTAGTTAAACATGTTTAAATTTTTTTTATCATGGCTGGACCATATAAACACACTAGTTTTTTAATATTGAGTCCCGAAATTTTAGTTAAGTACGGACAAAAATGTCACCCATACCGTTGCAAATATTTTATTCGAAATAAATTCCATATTTAACTATAGAACAGTTCAAAAACTGTGTTCTACGTTATAATAATGCTGTTATGTTATGTTGTTTGATTAGATATTATTGTTAAAATTTTATATGAATATTACGGATTTGGTTAGTGTTTGTTGACGTGGTTAAATGCAGTTAATTATTTCTTAGCACCATTAAATCTACTGTTATTCCCAGACAGTGATTTCAATGGGTGTTGGCGTTCTGCTGAACCTCACTTGCGTGCGAAGTCAGGCCTTAAAAGTTCGTGTACAGTTCTAGCCATGACAAATAAAAATTTTTCTTAAAAAAAATCTTTATTATTTCGGAAAATCATACTAACAACCAGAGCTCATTCAAACACTCACCATTGACGGAATGTAAGTGATATAGTAACTATAGTGTGTTTCATTCGTAGTTAAATTTAATAAAACGAAACGACGGCAATCGACACAAATGAAACACACTATAGTTACAGGTTTCGTTACATCTACTATTTCAGTAGCAGGTCCAAATGTTAATTACTCTCCACAATCAAACAAAAACTTTATAGTGTGCCGCATTTTACTCTAAAATATACGCACACATTGTTACGTGATTGTGAAACAGACACAACTGATTTTGACAATACACTGTGTGGTTCCATTATTTTCCAAACGAAATAGACGCGGTGTGTTTGATTCTTTGGAAATCTTATCTACCTACCGAAGACAAAGAAAAAGAAAAGTGCGTTACTAGATTTGGGAAAGAATAGACACACCGTGAGTAATGTTCCAGATATATATTATATATACAAGATTTGTATTTATGTTGGTACCTGTTTTTTGTAGCACCGCTCATACTAAGCAATAGTGTATTGTGGATCAGTTTCTTTTCCACTTTCAGTCCCTACTTATTTTTTGGAAGGTTTATTTTAAAGTGAGTGATTCAAAGAGCAATTTATTCATTCACAAAACACGGGATGAAATTTTTGCACAACTATATACTATCTGGTGTAAAAAAATGCGCAAAATGAAGTTTGCTTATTTACCTACTAGCATTAGGTATAGCATTCATTTTTCAACAGCACGAGTGACAAACATAAATTTCAATTGTTCATTTTTTTACGCCTAGATACTATGCTTCTTAATATTTTGCAATTTATTTTTCATTATAACGCGTGTAGATACATGTAACATACACTCTAAACTCGTGTTCGGTACATCGTATCTACATTTTGACAAGCCATTCATGTAATATAATGAATAATCATAGTATTACAACATATATACATATAATTTTTCTAAGCAATCGTTGTTTTTAGGGTAGTTATTAATAAGATTTAGTTTGTAAGCTTTGCGAAAAATTAAAGCGATCTCGATTTATATTGGATATTATTATTGTCCATATAGATATTATCATTCTGTTATAATTTTTGTTGTTTTATTATTAAATTAACAATTCAAATAAAAATCACATAACGCCTAAAGTCCTTTAATGCGTTGACCTACAAGATCGAAACTTTGCTGATTAACGCAGCTGGATGTGAGTGAACACACGATTATTGTATGATTGCTCTTTCTCTCTCTCTTTCTCTTTCTAAAGATCAATAACGCTGGGAAAATAAGACGCTGTAGTTGTTAAAACTTCTATTTTTAAACCCATCATATATTTAACAATAGAACATTACAAAATATATTAATCATGGTAGAAACAAAGTATTATTAACAATAATTAAAATTTAAAATATTTGAACACTGCATTCCAATGAACATTTTTATTTTAGAGACTAAACCAATATAAGCAACGCTACAGCTTTGTCTAATCGTCATAAACCAATTACAAAATTACAAAAAAGCTAGTTTTCGCAAAATACTACATTGCATTTAGTGGTCATATACAATTGCTTAAATTAGTATATACACATCTTTTTAAAACATCATAGCGTTTTTTTTACCTATCAAACGGTGAAATTAAGTAAAAGAAACAGCGTAACAGCTGATCGATGTATGCTTTTGTTTCCAAATTGAATACAAATTTTCTAAAATAAATGCAGAAATCATAATTGGAATGTGAAGAAACGTTTGGTGAAATTATTCTACACTTGCTCGCTACACGTGAGTTTTTATTTCTCCCATAATTTGAATAACGCGCCCTTCAATGGCGGCGGTATGACGAAATTGATAGTTCTATGTGGAGAAATAAAAACTCACCTCCTATGATTAGGAAGATAACTGTATACTAAATGTCTTACTGTATAACATCACAGTATTATTTAACTAAAAAAATTACATAGAATGTATTAAGAAATATACACCTGATAAACCATTTGTAGCAGTTTGTACATTTAGTAAAAATATAAAACTAAATATCTATTTTATGCTACACAGGCGTATATATGCAGTGCAAAAACAACAAATTCCTAAAAATATACACTGAAACTCTACTTAGTTCGTTTATACAATTTACACTTTGTAAGGAAATAAATAAAATAGATATGAAATATAGTACATATCACATGTTTGTGAGTTTAGAGAAAAAATAAACTACGTTCACGTATATCATGTTCAAAATTCAAGGCCAATTTTACGAAATCACAATGTAACATAATCCAAAGGACGGATATAATATCATTTCAAAATGGCCGATCAATAGGCTATAATGTAGGCCACCTGTTAGTATAATAATCTCAAAAAATACTTTCAGTGTAAGTGAAAAATGAAGTTTCTGACGACCGACGTTTCTGAAAATAATGTTGAACATGATATACTGCAGTTAGTTGGAACATATATAAAAAAAAAATAATAATAAAAAACTCAAATTCACATAGAATAATACATTTATGTCTTAAGCAAGCATTATGTGTTTAGAAGGTAGTGTATTTCTGTTTAGTTTTTAATACTACTAACATTTCTAACATTTAATATTGCTTGGAACAATAACAACATAACAAAATAAATCATTCTCCTCAGGTCTGAACAATTCTGTAATGTCATGATGAAACCTACGACTCCGCTATAGTCACAACTGAAAACGTAAATTGCGAGATTTATGTGTCACATAGCAATAACATTTGCTTTCTATTATTATATTATTATTCATATATTATTATTATTATTATTATTGATATTCAACATTTACTTTGTCTGATTTATATCCTTATGTTATACACTAAGTAATTACGGAACTCTTTTAGAATAATCATATAATACCGTAACTGTTAAGAAGCCACAACTTACGAGGCTCGTTTTTTAATAAGGTCGCAACAATACCAATATGTGCCTACAACGTTATCACCAACCCGCAAATCCTCTGGAGCCTATTGTCGATGGTCAAAAACTTCTCCGCCAAATTGTTGCAGTAGCCTAAAAAAAAATCTGCATTTTTTAATCGTCGTAGAAGTTTGGACCTGCATCTAGTACCCCAGACGATCTTTTTGTATATATAAATATAAAATAGTAACTCCAATCTATGGCCGGCACGGTTCCGACGAAGGTACACAAAATGTGTAATGTTATTCGCGACTTTTCAAAATATATATATGTCGGATGGATTCTTTTCCACGGCGAACCGGACCTTTTAAAAATCGGGCCTTGTAACCAATGGACAATAATAAAAAAATAATAAGTAAAAAAAGACTAAGTCTAATAAAACATAAGTATGTCTGAAAGAGAGCTTTCGTTTATTTGAACAAAAATAAAAATAAGTAAAAAAAGTAAGTAAAACATATAAAAATCGATTCCATATCAGCAAAGCAAAATAACAGATATGCTATTAGTTGTTGGATAATTTTACACACTGTTACGTTTGCCATGATACATACATCACATCGTTATTATGTTTGGAAGTCTTCTCTTAAGTGAGCTATGGCCTTCGGACCATAATAGCTTAAAAAACCATGACCTTAAAATAAGTTATCAATGTCTTAACTAATTTAACTTCCATAAATATAACTAATTTTAAGAACATGTTTTCGATCCCAAGTAAAATGCGTAGGTAGCAGAAATTAACAAGTAGTTACAGTATTTGATTACTTATCTTGGGCACCATTTAGGCTCCCACATGGTTCACCAGTGGACATACTACGTTGTGGTATCGGGCTCCGTCCCCCACTACCACCACTACTTAGCGCCATTCGTTGCATTTGTCGAATCACGGTAGTAGCATGATATGCTTGCTAAAACACACTTTAACACACCCCCTCACAAAATCAACACAACACCTACCTTCCAACGAGATTTTGCGAAATTCTTTTTAAGCTGCTCAGATACAGTACCGTGAATGTTCTTATTACTGGCTGCATTTCCAGATATCCTTAAAAAAATCACATTACAAACGTTGGTTAAAATCGAAAGTCGGGCACCAATTTTCTCCGTCCGGAGCGTTTCGACTCGTGGAATCATTTCCGGCGTTTAAATGACATTCCCCTGAACCCCGTACGTAATTCTGAGCTACGTCCAGTTTGTTTCGGAAATAAATATAAATTGGAGCGGCGGTTTTGTTTATAAAGGTCCATTTGCACAGAAATGCTGAGGAATGGACAGCAATAAACCGTGTGTTTTGCGTGCGGAAAACCCGACCTAACTAAAAACAGGGTATATTGGTTTCCGGACCTCAATATCCCAGTGGAAATGAACCTTAGCGGCAGGCGTCAGTCACTTTCAAGTATAAATAACTCTTTCCATTGTATTTTTAATGTCTTTACTGCGAGTAATAAAATTTTATGTGGTGCAGTCATTCTCCAAGGGGCATTCTCACCAAGCCACGCTTCCTCTCGGCGGTATTGACGTTTGGGTGTTTGTGCCCTTCCGTATAAATAATTTTGAAGCGTGTGTCTCGTCTTCGACGGGAGGAAACATAAATAAATCGTCAAAACTGACGGTTTAATTATTGACGGTTCAGAAGCTTGTGTTAGTCATTAACGAAATTACACACGTCGCGAACTCGGCACGTTTTGATTTATTATTTAAAGTGCGTGTGTCCACGTATAAGGAAACGTCGAGTCTTGTGAAACGTACGAACGTATAAGTGTGCCTTTAGACCTACCAAGGATGAGCCAAAGCCTGACGACAAGAATAACGCTTCTCCACATTAACACACATCAATTGTCTAATAAAGTCTTTCGCAGAATCACTGATTTCGTCCCAATACGGCGAATCAAATTCGAATTCGCCTACAAACCAACATTAGTAAGTCATAAAGAGTGTACGGGGGCGTGAGTACCCTTGAGGATTTGTGCAAATAAATTTGCATCATTTTCATCGTAAAAAGGGGGATAACCGCAAAGTAAAATGTAGGATATGACACCTATGCTCCAAACATCAACCGCTTTCCCGTACGGTTTCTGCGCAAGAACCTCAGGAGCTGGAATATAGAAATATTTCGTAGTGTTTATGAATGTTGGAAGAAGCGGCGAACATACCGACATAGCCCGGAGTTCCACAGGCTGTTGCCATGATGCCTGAATCTTCCATTTTAGACAAACCAAAATCGCTGATCATAATTTTGCTATCTTCGTCTGGACTATAGTAGAGCAGGTTTTCGGGCTGGAAAGTGTTTTTGGTGGATAATCGAGTCTTGGTTTTGCGTTCTTACCTTTAAATCGCGATGGACCACACCTTGTTCGTGCATGTAATCTACGGCTTCTAGAACTTGCCTTATGAGATCAGCTGCGTCTTTTTCTGTGTATGAACCCTTTTCGACGATGCGATCAAACAATTCGCCCCCCGTTACTCTACAACCGAGTTTGGTTAAATTTATTTTAACAAGGTCGGGTTAGCTTACAGTTCCATAATCAAATAAACTTTCGATTTGTCTTCAAACGTTTCTAATAACTGTACAATATTAGGATGAGTTAATCTGAAATAAAACAACGGCGTGAATAAATTAGGTGTAGTTAATTTAAGTGCGGGTAGTGCGAAGTTCCATTATTCCCACTTAGGACTAACCCTCTCTGCCACAGGTGTATCCCAAACAAAAATCCCCTCAACATTATGTGAAGTTACACCTGCTAGTAAATTGCATTTAGCACGGATGATACACCGTAGGGTAATAAATCACTAGATCAGTCGATAAAAACAAGGATTTTTCCCGATACACCAACAAACATTTTTTCAATGACAATTTTAGATTTTATGACTAGAGAGTCATAGTCGTAAACCTCTTTAAACAAGTCGGCTTGGTAAACAAGTCGAATGTATTATTGAAGTTACTGTATTTAACATGAGGGAGGCAATAAATTCTTTCGAAATTCGATCTTTCGTTACTATTTATTCGCTTCGCCAGATTTTGGCACAAAGTTTCTTTCTGGCTGCATAATTTAAAATTCGAACCCTCAGCGACCACCGTGCGTCCCAACATATTAATCAATAAATTATCCTAACGACCCCAAAAAAGGGAAATCTGGAGGAAAACCAACCTCGTCTCGGAAGTTGATAATTAATTTAATAAAAAGACTTAAAATCAAATTATATCTCGTCCGAAACGTAATTACTCCCGAATTTTCCAAGAGTTCTTTGTTCACGTTGGCGACCGGCGACTCATACGTTTTAATTTATATCAACATATTCGCGGTTTCGACCTTCCGGTTATCACTTTGCGAATTCGCGTAAAACAACAATTTGCTATTATTTAAAACAAGAGAAAGCCATTTTCCAACTCGGCAAGGTTATAAAACCGATCCGCGTACACCGTTTTTACTCTAATGAGATTTTTTCTATGCCGTTAGACTAGAATGGAGGAGGTGCGAGAGCGGATCCTTGACGCACACCAAAAAAAAAAGGTAAGTCTGTTATGAATACGTGTTATTAACGACCTTTTTTCTAGAAGTGCCCATTTTATTATTCAAAATCGCTATTTAAAGATACATTTAAATAAGGCAGTCGCTTCGGGAGTTAAAAAATGTGTTATAAATCATGGGTTGATGACCATATTATTGACCAACACGTTCGACAAAACCTTGCTACAGATGTTGCGCAGATAAATCCGATCTGAAAACTGCTAGACCTTATCTAAAAATTCTTTACGTTACTACATTGGACGAACGTCGTTCTGTTATTAATAATAATGACCAGTGACACTAATAAATGTTTATAATTAGTGTAATCAGTTCGGAGTGTTTACTTCTAATTTCAAAATAATTTCCGACTATCGTAACGAACGAAATGTATTTCAGACATGGAAATAATGCGAAACTTTTAATTTCCCAACCGTAAGAGATTAAATTTCAGAAATTCAGCGGAATTAAAAAATGTTTTAATAATGTACTGTTTACTAAAAAGAAAGCAACACCTGTTTGAACTTCTCAAAATACACTTTTGTCAGATGAAGTAAATAATTAAATTTTCAAGAAACGAGATGAGTGATGGATGGGGAAATCCCACCCCATGTTTCATATGCTCATTTATATTTTACGGAGCTAATTTTACATTCCCTGTTAACTGCAACGATAAGCTAACATCCTTGACTTTCCGATATATCATTAAATTTGTGTATGTAGCGTTTGCGTGCGGAAAAATCCAATTTCATTTGTCTTAATTAAAAGAGAATTCAATACCAAGGTAACACTGACAAAGTTGCAAGATTTTGTCATCAAAAATAATAGTCTCTCAACAGTTCGGTCTCCAGAGAGGCAACACGGGTTATTGTGGGCTAGGTATCTAGAGAATTAAATATATAAAAGAACCCGGACGCTCAAGCAAACATTAACTAAGTTAGACAAAAAGTACGCTTCCGACGCGGCCAAGCGGAAATACATGTGGCTAAATAATCCAAATTAGTAGTTGCAGCCGTATCGATTCGTTCGTTACACGACTGGTAAACAGCATCGAAACTTTTTAATTTAAAAAAGTACACCTAATCGAAAAATCCACGCGATTAACATACAGGTGCGCCATCCTTTGTGTACACCTGTGTAAACACAAACGTTTAAAATTTTCGCTTAATAGCGCAATCAATCAAAATAATATCAATATTAATTATTAATTTCGGAACGTTCTCTTCGTTTAAATCCTACCATAAATCGGACAGGGAGGGCTCACTCACCAGATAAATTTCAACCATAAAACGAACAACCGATTCGATCCGTTAAATAGATAACAATGATCCGAAAGGGTAAACTTGCTCGTCGCTCTGTCTAAGACACTTATTTGTATTAAGATGTATATTTCAAATAAAGGCCGCAAGCTTTAGTGTTCGCAATAATAAATGAAACCAAACATAAAGTAATTAACAGGGGTCAAACCGCAAGCCTTTGGAGTTTCTTGAGCGCTGTCGACTTTTTTTGACCCACGACAAGTTGGCGGGAACAAGTGTGGTGAAGATCCATGTCAACCCTTGATAAACAAGCGTGCCCACTTGTAGATACTTAATTTAAATTCACTTTATAAAGTTGCGAGCATACGATCTATAAATTAAATTATTCAAACAAGCGCGAAGGCGCAAACATCACAAGATCACCCCTATATTCTTCTTCGTTTTTAATCGGCGCGATTACCGATCAAAAATGCAGCCCGTCGAATCTATTACCATATTATTGAAAAATAGCACAAATTTTCATCATATCATATCAAAATAAGAATTTATGGTTCGAGCCCTGACAGTTTCCTCCTCATTATGATAATTACTCGCGTTATCACCACCGCATTATACGAAAAATGCAATTACGACCGAAAGCGGGAACACACGTTTTTTGTGGAATTTTACGATAAACGTAAATAACAATTATTAATCATACATCAAATCAACAAATGACAAAATTTTAGAAAGTATAATAAAACCCTGGCGTTAATCGCACCGGTCTCATCATAAATTCATTTGATAAAAGTGAGGTTTTACTTCGACATACATATTCGATGCTGTAGGGCGTTTTTACCTCCAATTCTGTCTATATTTAGCCACTACAAATTCCACAAAAAACACAAAATGGTTTGTCGAGTGTACATTTCAGTAAATTTGGACACTGACGTTCGGTTTCCAATCCGATGAACTTTAAAATCTCGTCTACGAGAAACTTCCTCCTAAGATAAATCGGTCATACGTCAACAATTATTTATAGTTGAGTGTTTGCTTCGTTACGAATGGTCGTTGAAGCTACTAAAAAAATGACACACGTTTTATAATCTTTACAACAATTTTATTATTAAGATTATAAGTTCACAAAACAGACAAACGAACGGAAACGGGAAATCCGCCACATCGTTTTCTACGATCAGCGAAACGGGAACTAAAAAACTAGCGTGGTGACTCAGCACTGCCAAAGTTATCTTAGCACTTTTCACAACACAAACTATTGCCAAGATAAAAGATAGTTAAACAGAGTTCCTCCAACGTCTAGCTTTTATCTCGTTCCACTATCAACGTTCTATTATTATCCGCGCCAAGAGTAAAACTTTGCCTGTTCAAAATTTTCACATGCTAAATCTGAAAACAGCGTGAATAACATTTCCAAACATCATTGTAACCCTAAGGTTATGAGACAACTTTACTCAATAGTCTTGGACTTGCAAAAAACGCGCATTGTGTGACTACAACTAAGCCGTTTCGCACACAAACTTACTTAAAACGTGACATCTACTTAAATCTCGACATCGAAAGTTTTAATTCATGCGAATTAAGTAAGATCAGTGTTTGAAACTTTGAATTGAAAAGGCTCACAACTTGCAAAGACAATAATTCATCGACACATATAATCGTACCGAGAAGTTGAAAACACGACCGTAAAATTATCATTCGGAAAATATTTACCAAAATCAGACTTTTTAAATACTGATGTTTACGAAAAAATAACCAGCTTCTTTAGACTGACTTAATTACTGCGATATTATTTTTCGTACGTCAAACGGAATACGAATTTATTTTTTATCGTCGCTTCAAAACACGATTCCGACGAAACTTTGAAGTCGAGTTGCAATAATTCGTGTTTTGTTACCTGCTTGTTTTTGCATGAGCGCGCTTTTATGAGACTTTTTAACTAACGGTGGGTGACGGGTTTTGTGTTACGACAAATGCTCAACTATCACTACTGAAATAGCTTTTTTGATAATAGATTTTTTTAAATATCAAATCATAACGGGTCAAGATTTGTGGAGGGTAGTAGTGTCGCGCCCTGAAAATAGGTCTTATTTATAGCACGTGCTGGTCAGTAGGCGGTAGTCGGCCTTTCCACTGTATCCGATATTAAACTCGAATTCAACAAAACGCTAAAAATAATTATTACACAAATGATTATAAAAACATTGTCGAGAAATTCTTTTAAACAATTTCCACTTGAAACTTTTCGCAGATAATGCAGTTATCGACGTCAATATCTACCAATAATAACAAAAATAATCAGTTATGGTTTATTTTATTAAAAAAAATCTGGTTTTACTCATTCGATTTTAATGAGGGCCGAAGTAATTTACTGCGACTAGCGAAACACACAAAGCTATTATCACGCTGTCGGTGTTGTTGATGCAATGATTTTGCTATTCTGCTTTATTTAAAGTCAACATATTTGCATTCTTTTCTTAAACTGGCTTTACAAACAATTGGAGATTCTCGACCTGCTTAAAATACACCGGCAGTATCAAATTTTCCTCACTAGCACCCTTATTAGGCGGTAAAAGCCAACTTTAACGACAAGTTGAGTGAAATAGAAGCAAAATTGTTGCACCACATTTGCATGTTTAGTATGAATTTTCTGCAGCTAGGTGAGTAAATGTCGCAGTATTGCAGCATTTTATGTTGTTTCTTAGCATCTGTGGCCAATCAAATTTATATATCTGTTCTAATTCGCACCAGATCCTTTAATGGAAGAAAGTTTTTCCGTCGAATAGATATAGATCAAGATTACAAAACTACCGGTGGCCAATACAATA